GGAAGAGAGAGAATGAAAAAGAGAGAGAAAATAAGAGAGGATGAGAAAGAAATAGAAAGAGAAGAAGAAGAAAGAGAAAGAGAAAGGCAGAGACACACAGAGAGATAGAGACACACCGGGAACAGAACAAGCAACAGCCACGCAATCAAGCTGGTCATCTGCAGCTACACGCCCAGCCCTAACAGGTATCCCTGCACACGCCATATAAACAAGCGGCGGCTGCAACTCGAGAGAAAGAGGAGGGGAACGGAGCAAGTGGAGGGAGAGGAGGGGGAGTGGAGGAGGAATGGAGGGGGAGGGAGAAAGGGAGAGGGAGAGGGAGAGGGAGAGGAGAGGGAGAGGGAGAGGGAGAGAGAGAGAGAGGAGAGGAGAGAGAGAGAGAGAGAGAGATGAGAGAGAGAGAGAGAGAGAGAGGAGAGAGAGAGAGAGAGAGAGAGAGAGAGAGAGAGAGAGAGAGAAAGAGAAAGAGAAAGAGAAAGAGAAATAGAAATAGAAATAGAAATAGAAATAGAAATAGAAATAGAGACAGAGAGACAGAACGAGACAGAACGAGACAGAGATAGAGACAGAACGAAACAGAGATAGAGACAGAAAGACAGATCGAGACAGAGAGAGAGTTTGTGTGCGTGTGCGTTTGAGCGAGTGTGAATGTGAATGTTCGTGTGCGTGCGGTGTGTCTGTCTGCTTGAGTGGGCGTTCGTATGCCTCTGCAGCCCCTGGCGTAATTCCCGGCTGCGCATCCTTCCCCTGACACCGAGCTTAGTCAGTCTGCATGAACACCTGCACACGACGCCGGGTTGTCAAGTATTCATGAGCTCAGTACCTCTTGCCTATTCTGTTGACTTTCCCTCCTCGTCCCCCGTTCCGTTCTCCTCCCGTCTCTTCTTCCCTCCCCCCCCCCCCCTTCTTCTCCTTCCTCCTTTCCCCTCTTTCCCAATCCCCTTCCCCATCCCCGTTTCTTCTCTCTTTCTTTTATCCATTTTTTTCTTCTCCTCCTCTGCAAGCCCTTCCCTCTTCCCCCCCACCTCTCTCTCTCTCTCTCTCTCTCTCTCTCTCTCTCTCTCTCTCTCTCTCTCTCTCTCTCTCTCTCTCTCTCTCTCTCTCTTTCATGCCTTCCTCTTCTCTCCCTATTTATTTCTCTCCTCCATTCCCCCTTCTCCCTCTGACGCTCCTCCTGTACTCAAAGGCTTTCAAGCGCCCCCTCCCTTTCCCCCCTCGCTGTCTTTCATTTATCTTTCTCTTTATCTTTCACTTTCTCCTAAAGCCTCCTATTTCTCTTCTCTCTATTTTCGCACTCCCTCACTTTCCTACTCTACTACTGCGAAATGTGACCTGGACGTTTATATTTATCATTATTAATATTATTATCATTATCAATATCATTATCATTATCAATATCATTATCATTATCATTATCATTATCATTATTATTATTATCATTATCATTATCATTATTATTATTATTATTACCATTCTGGCGCCACACAGAACAGTTTGAAATCTCTATGAAAACAGACATAATCAGTGCCATAGAAATGTAGCCCTTATAGACGGATATTGAAGAGTGACTATATATAAAAAAAATCCTAATAAAACAGAATTGAAAAGAGTAAGATGGAGAAAAGTGATCGCTCGAAGGAAATGGGGATTTGCTTGGACATGCGTTAAGAGTTACGAAAAGAAAAATAAATGAATAAATGAATAAATAAAAACAAATAATAATAATAATAATTATAATAACAATAACAATAACAATAACAATAATAATAATAATAATAATAATAATAATAATAATAATAATGACCTCGAAGGGTGGGTTGAGACAGGTGGGGGGTGGGGGGGGGAGACTGAGGGAGGTCTGGATAGGACAGAAAAAAAAATGGGGGAAAAAAATCTGGAAATACGGAGACTTTATGGCTTTCTACGGAGAGAGGCGTAAATGGCGAGCTCACTTTCTCTCCCTTGCCGATCATTCGTGATCACAGCACATGAGCATTGACATATAACCTTTTTTTTTTCTTTTTTTCCTTTCTCATCCATATTTTATCTACTCTTTCGCTTTCTCCTCCCTCCACGCTTTTCTTTCACTTCACCTTTCTCCGCTCTTTATCCATCTGCTTCTCCCTTCCTTCATTCCCTTCTATTTCTTTACCTCGCTATCTCCTTTTACTTCCCCTCCTTTCTTTCCTTTCCCTTCCCTTCTTTTTCATAATCTCCTTCCTCTCTATTCTTACCCGCACACCCCTACTTCCTTTCCTCCCTATATTATCCTCTACCTAATCATCTCTATCTCCTTTCCCTTCCTCGCCTCGCATTGCCTCCCCTCCACTCTCCCCTCCTCTCTCCCCCCCTCCCCTTCCCTCCCCCCTCCCCTTCTTTCCTCTCCTCTCCTCTCTCCTCCCCTCCCCTTCCATCCCCCCTCCCCCCCTCCTCTCTCCCCTCCCCTCCTTTCCTCTCCTCTCCCCCCTCTCCCCTCCCCCCTCTCCCCTCTCCCCCCCTC